AATAGTCATAAACTGTCTAGAGAAGCTTAAAGCATTCAAAAAGAATTTTCATTGTATGAAATTTTAGAGTATCAAAGTTTTATTTTCATTCTCCTACATACACACATGAACACATATGTGCGCGCACACATACTCAGTTTGTGTTAAGACAATGCACTTCGTAAGCCGGGCGGTGGTGGCGCACGCCTTTAATCCCAGCACTCGGGAGGCAGAGCCAGGCGGATCTCTGTGAGTTCGAGGCCAGCCTGGGCTACCAAGTGAGCTCCAGGAAAGGCGCAAAGCTACACAGAGAAACCCTGTCTCGAAAAACAAAAAAAAAAAAAAAAAAAAAAGACAATGCACTTCGTTTAAGTCCGACTATTAAAAACAATGAACCTTTAAAAATCTGAGTTGCCATTTAAACTCTCAGACTTGAGAATTCATTTTGAAGATGTGATGTGAAGTACATTAACTTGGATGTCTCAAATCTAAGTAGCTTGAACACAGTGAATTACTCACTTACTTGTGTATTTCCTACCCCGTCATCTGATGCAGTTACCACACTCTCACCGGGCGCCGTGAAATGCTGGCAGGTTTTAGAGTCTCTTGTGTGGGATGGTTTTCTGGAAAGTTAAGCTTCTGACCTTTATATTTCTTACTGGTAAATGAGAATAATAATAAGAACTGAATTTACTGCTGTGTGAGTTGGATAGATAATGAGAAATTATCTACTATAAAAACTGGTGCCTGCCAGGCGGTGGTGGTGCACGCCTTTAATCCCAGCACTCTGGAGGCAGAGGCAGGCAGATCTCTGAGTTTGAGGCCAGCCTGGTCTACAAAGTGAGTTCCAGGACAGCCAGGACTACACAAAGAAACCCTGTCTTGAAAAACAAAAAAAACCTGGTGTCTGTCTGTCTGTCTGTCTGTCTGTCTGTCTGTCTGTCTGTGTCTGTCTGTCTGTCTGTCTGTCTCTCTCTCTCTCATATGTAGGAAATACAGGAATTTGCCTATGCCCAATGGAGTCTGAGTTCTTTTGACTATTGCTCTTTCAAAATCAATCTATATATTGCACCAACACCTGTGATTGTTAAAGAATATAAAGAATATAACCTAAAATAGCTCTTATTCCACCACCTATGGATAATTTTTATTAGTCTGCTTATGCCTGTATTTGTATGACACTTTCTTATAGAATTATAGAAATTGGGACCAAAATTATATGTTTCGTAAGTTGCTTTTTAGTTAATATTTTAAGGATTGTTTACAACAGATAAATCTACTTTCATGATATGAGTTGAAATTTTGTCTACTTTTCTGGGTGTATCATATTCTAAGCAGTTTCCTTTTGCTGGGCAATTTAAGATGTTTGTAACTGTTAACTCTTCTGTGATGTTGTGCAGCTAATTGTGTATGTCCCTTGTGTAGTTGTCTTGTGTTAGTGCAAATTCCTAGACCTGGTCATTCTAGCCTAGCCTATATAGACTTAAGACTGTGTGTGTGTGTGTGTGTGTGTGTGTTGCATACATACTATACCACAGCCTACATGGAAAGGACAGAGGACACCTTGCAGGAGTAGGTTCCCTCTTTTTGCCATAGTGGCATCACACAATAGCCATCATGCTTGGCCACAATCACCTTTACTCACTGAGATAAATGTTTTGCCCCAGACTTAAGAGTTCTGATACACAGCACAAATTGGTTTTGAGATGCTGGCTTTCTTTAGTTACTATAGTTACCAAGCCTGACAGATTTTCATGTCCTCGACACACAGATTGTTATTAAGAATCTTTGTCTAGGGGATGGGGAGATGGCTCAACAGTTGAGAGCACTTGATACTATTCCCAACACCCACACCAGTCAGCTCATCACTACCTGAAATTCTAACTGTAGAGGAATCTGACATCCTCTTCTGTCCTGTGTGGACACCTGCACATACATATATATGTACATAAACATGAACATTTGCATACAAATAAATAAAAATCTTAGTTAAGTTTGTATACTCAGTCTATTTTTTTCTAAGTACAGTATAAAGTCTGGTCTTACCATTATTTAAATTTATGGAAGATTGAGTATGTTAGTATTTTGACATAGGAAAAATGTCTAGAATCATATTAGGATTTTATCTTTCTGTAATTTTTATTTTCATTAAAAAAAAATTAAGTGTTCACGTACATACATCATGTGTGTGCCTGAGGAGGCCAGAAGAGGGCGCTAGACCCCCTGGGACTGGAGTTACAGATGGTTGTGAGCCACCACGTGGGTGGCGGGAATTGAATCTGGGTCCTCCCTCTAGAAGAGCAGCTCTTAACCACTGAGCTAATTCTTCAGCCCCCTTCTTGTAATCTTTTAAAATGAAGTCTTCTGGGTAGTTGGGGTTGCTGAAAAGCTCTGTTTCAGCATCTGGACTTTAATAAATAGGATTCTAGGCATATTTCAGCCTTGCTATGTGTTAAACTTTTGTACAAGTGATAACTTCAGGATTGACTCATGTCATGGATTAGGTGGATACTCTTTGGTAGCCTTTCCATATGAATGATCATGTGATTCTTTTCCCTGTTTTAGATTGCTAGACTTGGTTGAAGTGGTTTAATGTGTTTAAGATCTCATAGCTCTTAGGTGGTGAAAGTGGGGTTGAGTTTAGCTTTGTGTGACTCAAGTCCCTCCCCTCCCGTCACTTGCTACACTCTGCTCTCTGGACTGGCCATGCACTGTGGTGACTGCCATTTTTCATTGCTCTCCTTGTGTCTTCAGATCACAGCCTTTCTTCTAGATCACCATTTTTTTTCATCTAGATGGCTTGAGGATGTCATAGCTATCTTTTATGAGTGCTCCCGAGGGCTTTGCTTAGATTAGTGATATTGACTCTGACTGTGTTGGGTATTTCTGGGTCTCGCTCTTTGACTATGGATAGGAGATTCCTGAAGAATTAGCTGTCTCTGTGTTTTCCATACTCGGGTCCACCCTCACTTTGAGTTTGTTCATGGGGAAATTCTGGAGTTGGTCGCACAGGTTATTTGAGCTTATCCTTGGGTGGGCAACTCAAGATAATTCTCCAAGGAGTACATTATTCTGTCTAGACAGTTTTTTTTTTTAAACTATGCTTTTAAATACTGTCTTTACTTCTGTGACTGAGCTTCTAGACAGAAGAGCTACTTGCTTCTTTATTATTAATCTTCAGCTCTGTGTTTCCAGCAGGAACAGAGGCAGCAGGCTCATGTTCAACTTATACAGCTGTGTGGTTTACACAGGTGATTGCTGTAGATGGGGAAGGACCCTCTATTTCTTCCTGGGTTTGAGGATATCACAGCTTGGCCAGACTCTTATAAAACCAATTTCTGAGAAACTAAGTCAATCTCTCTCTTTCCTACCCACCCCGTGTGTGTGTGTGTGTGTGTGTGTGTGTGTGTGTGTGTGTGTGTGTGTGTGTTATGGAATATAGACACATATCACCATGCTCTAACTTTGAGTAGAAAAGTGTCTGTGAATTTATCACCTAACTTATCAGGCCTATTATCTGGCTGTAACCATCTTGGGCATTATGGAACATTCTAGAATTAAGTGTTCTAGGAAAATTTCAAAGACAGCAGCAGTGGCAGTGGTTTAGGTGGAATATGATGAATATTATTGCATCATGTGCCTGATCCCTTTAGCCGACCTGAGGTGCAAGATTCACGGCTTTCAAATTCCTGATTCCAGCAATGTATTTATCTCCAGAGTGGCAGGTAGGACAAGGTTTCCTGCTGCCAGATGCTAAACCCTTATCTGGGGAGGCGGTAGCTGCTGTCACAAGCCTGGGGCTGAGAACATGAGCACAGGAGCTGCGTTTGAGATCGCTTTCCTCCATTGTTATCTCCCTTTTCTGCCTTTCACATCTCCCCCGTGGAGCTCCCCACCCATTCCAACATGTCCTTCCTCTAGAGACTGAATCTAGTTATTATTTTTTCCTAGACGCTTCCCTAAGACCATTGCTAGGGGTAACAGTGCATAGCCTGACAGCTGGGAATTGTCCATTCCAAGCGTTTGCCATTTTGCCTCAGCTTGTCTTTCTGTGAAGGGTGTAGAAATCTCCTTAGGGCCCTTCAGTAGACAGCTCTGGGACTGAGGAAATGGCTCAGCAGGTAACCGTGCTTGCTTCTCAGCAGGAAGATGGGAGGTCAGATCCTAGCACCCAAGTAAAAAGCTAGATGTGGCTGCATGTGGGACTGTGACCTTAGCACTGTGGTGGCAGAGGCAGGAGGATCGTGGGGCTTGCTGGCTATGAGCCCGGCTCCACTCCCAGTGAGAGACCTTGTCTCAAAGGAAGAAGGCAGAGCATGGTGAAGTAGGAAACTCCTGGCCTGCAGGTGTATGTACAGGCATCCCCCCACCCCCCAATCGTGTACATGCACCATGCTCACATCACACAACATGCACACTCTCACACACATACCCAATGAAAATAACTAGTGCTTACAACAACAAATTGGGTGTCTTCATGAATAAGTTTGAGAATCATCCCTCTGCTATTTAGCTACGGAATGAAATGAGGAATTTAAGGATGGAATTGAAATAAATGATGTACAGATGTAAATGCTATTTCAAGTTTATATCTTAAATTGTGTATATTTACTCTTACTGAATCATCCATAGTTTCTCTTTGGAAACTTATTGGAAATTTAGTTTTTAAAAAACATTTTTTTCCTTTGAGATTATAGTGTAATTACATCATTCCCCCCTCCCTTTCCTTCTTTTAAGCCATCCCATTTACCCTTGCTCTTTTTCAAATTCATGGCCTCTGTAACTTTTGTCATCCAATAAAACAATTACACTACAGGAAACGCTTATTTAGTTGTTTCTGTGTGTTTATTCACACTAACATGGTTGTAACACAGAATAGTACACACTTTCCTATAAGGAATGACTTTTGGTGATACATGCAAATCATTCAGATAAAACATTAAATGCTTATTAGTCAATACAATTGTGAATTTACCTTGTTCCTTGTCCCTATTTACTTAATACCCAAATCTGTCTTTCAGGCTGTAACTGAGAAGACTTTTGAAACAAAGGATTTTCGAGCCTCTCTAGAAAATGGTGTTCTGTTGTGTGAGTAAGTATTTAAGGCATGCTCTCCATAGTCACAGGTTTGTGTCCTTGGTCCAAAGTGAGATTTGATCCCTGCAAGCTGACACCTCCACAGTATGAGACAGTAGAGAGGGGGGTTATCGGTCTTGGTATCTAAAGATAGTGTTGGTAAAATATATATTATTTTTAATTAGTAAATAAGCAAGGGTCTGTTATTGCTTTATGGGCAGATAGTTGAGGAGGAAGGTGATTATATCTGATTATAGCCCACACTGTATATAATTGGCTTACTTTAAAATGAATATAAAAGATCCTTTTCATTAGTAAGACATGTGGCAAGTTTTTCTTTAGGTTTAAGTGGAGTGATTTCACTACCGAAATCGATTTGAGTCATTGACTGTTTATTTAGCTACATTCCAGGCTGTGGTAACCAGAAGTTACCAGGGTGGTGCCCTGATTGATGGTGTAGGGTCTACCTGGGTGGCTTTGTGAAGTGTTTGACTCTCTAGTGGCTGCATAGTACAGTTAACCAGATGTGGGACCTTTGTGGATAACAGAAGGCTTGTGAGGGAAAGGGTAAAATTCTGGAGGAAAGTATGGGTTGCAGAAGTAGGCAAATAAATTAAAAGAATGTACTTGAGTACCCACCCACATTTTTTGAAAGCACTCGATAATTCCAATCTAGACTCTTATCACGTAGATATTTATGGAATCTGCCCACATGTGAACTCTGGGAGTGGACTACTAGAACCTACATGTTTTCTTTCTTTTTGGTGACGGTAGCCCAGTGTGTACCATCATGCTGGTCTACAAGCTGCCCTTAGATGCTTTTGATTCTCTCTTTGAAGGATGCTATTTGCAATAAAGATTCCAAATGAAAGAGTTGGATTCCTTTGCCCATTACTTTGGGATGTTCACACAAGTGCCTTTTTTTTTTTTCATTTTTATTTACATTTACAAGTGGTTTAATGCTTGAGTCTTATTTTCCTCGCCTGCACAGCAGAGATCAGGGCATTTAATCTGCCTGATTCATGGAGCTGCTGTGCTCAACACCAGGTTAGGTTAGGTTGGCATAAACTATGGCACTTGGTATTCTACAAATTGTTAGAAAGATGGCCATGGAAACCAGCCTTGTTAGCTGCTATCCAAACTCCTTTGTTTGAGAATACCATAATTCATTAATTCACTCCATACAAAGGTACTGGCATTAAACCAGTTGTGATTTACAGAAATGTCAACTTTATGCAGTTTTACCCAATGTATACCAGGAAAAGCATCTCCAGGGCCATACATGAAGTTGAAAGGATATTTTGACTCCTCAGCTGTGTGCTCATAGTCCTTGTCGAGTAACATTTAAACTCATGTAATTGGGCTGCATGTTCTGTTCAAGGATGGTAGAGGGGAAATTATCTCGATTTGAAAACTGTATGATTTAAGTGTTTACTCATGTATTCAGAAGACAGAGGAGAGAAAATGCCTTTATTTGAGAAGCATCTGAGCTGAAAACTACCTTAGCTCTGAGTCTGACTACATAAGAGTTTGAAGAAAAGTAACTATCCATGATGCTAAGCTCCACAATCTTGAGGAATTAGATGGCATTTTACAAAAATTTGTCTATGAAATGTAAAGTTTTGTTTAGTGTATGAGAGTATGTAGCCTAAGTAGATGATCTATTTAAAGAGGTCTCTTTGTGGGTTACATATTTCTAACAATTAGCTATTGCTCTGAGTATGTGACTAAACATGTCTGATGGTGGCACCACTTCCTTTTTTTGTGTTTGAGTTCCATGGATACGTTTATGTTTTGAGGAAGTCTACCCCCCATTTCCTCATCTCCAAGTCCTCTTCCCTCACCCCCATTATACCCTCCCAATTTCATGTATATATATAGTACTGAATACAGTTTATTCACTTAGTGCTGCCAGCATGTGATGTGAAAGGATTAGTGGAGCATGGGTAACCTCTCAGGTGCTGCATCCCTGAAGAAAACTGACTCTCCCTTTCCCAGTAGCACCAATTGCTACTAGTTCCTCAGGAGGGGTGGGACTTCCTGGTCATCTCCCTACTGCATGCTGGGATTTTGTGTGGCTTCCTCCTGCACAGGTCCTGTGCATGCTGTCACAACGGTTGTGAGTCCATGTGAGAAGCTGCTCTGTTGCATTTCCACTTGTGCTTTGTCCAAACTTTCTGGCCCTTTGATGCCCCCAGAGCCCTGGGAGGAAGAGGTATGACTTAGATGTTTCATCTAGGGGCGAGACTCCGAAGTCTCTTAGTCTCTGAACTTCAACTGGATGCAGATCTCTGTTTATTGTGACACCCCTTCTGGATTTAACTGTAGCTTACGCACAGCTCTGGCTCTGAGTGATTTGAAATGATTCCTAAAAACAATACCCAGGTCAAGTGATGAGCATATCATTACTGTAGATGTAACCGTCTTGTTAAATAAGAAACACAGAGCCAAATACAGAGTTAAAAGCCAAGAGGTCAGAGCAATAGCTAAGAGCTGAGATTAAAAACCTTACCCTTCACTGCCACTGCTGTCCTACCTCTCTGCAAGAGACCTACTTCCTGTGTGTTTGTCCTTTTTATTGACTTTCTATTCTGCCTTCTCATTGGTTGTAAACCCAACCACATGACCTCCTCTTCACTGCCCATCTGTACAGACCTCCAGGTCTTTCTATGGTTGGTATTGAGATTAAAGGCATGTGTCTCCATGCTGGTGGTATCCTTGAACACACAGAGATCTGCCTGTCATGTGATTGGGATTAAGGGTGTGTGCTACCACTGCCAGACTTTTGCTATGGCTTGCTATTAGCTCTGACCCCCAGGCAACTTTATTAACATACAAATAAAAATCACATTTTAGTACAAATAAAATATCACCATACATTACAAGTTAGAATATCCAGAGTTGATTGAAAATATTGTGTTGACCCAAACTAGGACAAATTAGAATAGGAATAAATTCTGAATTGCTCCAAACTAATACAAATTAAAATAAATGTAACTTCTACTCTAATAGTGACAACAAGCACTTAACTACATGCATATATGTGATAGGTTATGCTGTTAATAAAGCACATATCTATGCAAGTCTATATATAAAATTTCCATTTTTAGCATCCTCATTAATTTTTACCGTTCATGAGATTCTTACTGTCTTATCTACAAATTTCAGCAGCTTTTATCCTTCAATACCACTTTTCTTTTTTTAAACTGGCATTCTGAACTATCCACGTCAGGAGTTGGAGGACCGTCTTCCAGCTGTCACTCAGCTGACAGTAGACTGTCATGTCAGACTCCAAACTGCAGACAACCTCTGCGCTGACGTTTCAGACAGGGTGCACATCTGAGTAACAAGCACTTCCCTGAGCATTTCTGTGTCAGGTTGGTGGATGATTGGAATGAGCGTGTTCGTGGTAATAATCTTTGTTCTAGCACGTTTGACTTTGGTATCTAGTGAGCTGAAAGCTGAAGATTACTGCTCTGTATGTGTGTGTTATGTACATTTGAGTGTGTGTTATGTGCATTTATGTGTTGTGTGCATTTGTATGTGTGTTGTGTATATTTGTGTGCTGTATACATTTGTGTGTGCTTATGTATGTATGTGTTGTGTACATTTGTGTGTATGTGTTTGTATATATTTCTCTCTGTGTGTATGCATGCATGTGTGTGTGTTTGTGTACATTTGTCTATACACATGTAGAAGATATCAACATTGGGTGCCCTCCAGGATCACTCTCCACCTTATTTGGTTGAAATGGGATGTGTCACTTAATCTGGAGTTGATTACCTTGGTGACTGGTTGCACAATGAGATCCATGGATCCCCTTACCTCTGCCTCCCAAATGCTGGGATTACGAGGCTCCTATGCCCAGCTTTTATTTGGGGGTAAGGATCTGCTCTCGGGTCCTCATGCTTGCATGTAGGTAGGCATTTATCAGCTGAACCACCTCCTTGTCTGTTCGTACACTTTTATTTTAGATACACATTCTCTTCTTGGCTTTATTAGTAGTGAGATGGGAAGTACCCTACCCTTTAAATTTTTTTTCTAAATTAATGAATATATTGACCAGTTCTTAGGTGATTTAAGCTCTTTGAGTTTTATGAATCATATCCATGATCTGTCTCATTTCTTTAGTGTTGGTTAGTATTCATACGGACTGTTATAATATATATTAAAAATATAAAATAGTCGTCACTGCATGAATATCCATAGCCCTGCTATGCTCTGACCACATCATTTGGCTACTGATATCAGTTAGCAGTCTCCCAGTTACTCATCCTGTGGTTGCACCCTTGGAAGTCTTCCGATGAAAACATTCTTTCTTCCTCTGTGAAGGTTTGCTCAAAGATAGTCTCACTGGGTGTGTCCCTGCTTAGTCAGTCCGTATTTCCCCTCTTTGGAATGGTCCCAAGTTTCTGCTCTGTTCCCATTGGCCATGCACGTAAACTGACTTTACGCCTTGGTGAACATGTTTCGATTCACTCAGAAGCTTCTCGTGGTGTCGCCAGGTCATTCCCCCACCCCTGTTTGCTGCTTGCAAAGACCTGGAGCAAGATGTTCACCTGGTGCTCTGAGAGCTCCTATTTGTGTTTATATTTTCTCTGTGATTTTCATATTGCTTAAAATGCTCAGTCTTGAGATATTTATTCAATAGAATAAGAAAACAGGATAGTTATATAAATACTATATTTTCCCAGTGAGAGAGTCAAGTAACTTTTAATAGAGTGGACAACATAGAGGACTATGCCACTTGTCATTGATGTTTTGAGAAGACCCTTACTTTGTTAGAGTTGAGAAGGACCACAGGCTTTGGTGGAAGGAAACGGCAGTTTTCTTGCAGTTATTTCTGGTCTTGAATTTCTGAAGGAGGAAAAATGGCTCACAAATGACCCCACAAGCCAACACTACCTACTGACATGGAGCCATTGTTTATAGCTTTTAGAAATTCAAATAGTGAAGAACATCAGCTTTATAGTCTTCAACATTACCACACAGCCCAGCCAGCAATATGTAAATAGC